GTAATGATCTTTGATAATTGTAGTTTTCTGTATTTAATAGATAGCTTGATTTGATGTTATTCCTTTGATATAGAAAGTGAGGGGGAAGACAGTAGAAAAGAGATAGAGATAGAGAGAGAGAGTGAGGAAGGAAAGAGAATATTTCATGTAAACAGCATGCTCATTTCATCATATGTGAGGTCATTTATAATCTGTTACAAACTTTTTGCCCTAATTCCCGAAATATCCTCAACTACTAAAAATAAAACATAGCTGCTCCCAAATACTAGGTAAAGTCGGCTAGCCCAACTGTTACATAATTTGACCATTAAAAAGCCCAACTAAAAACATAATTCAAACACAAGTAAAAGAGCCCAAGTAACTAAAACTCATAGATGGCCCGCCTAAATATGGAAAAGGCCAAAAACCCCCAATTTATCGTGCCACTAAACCGTAACCCTAACCCTTCTTCTTCGTGCTCATCGCCTCAACTCCTCCGGCGACCTTGTTTACTTCCTCAGCCACCAAGACTTCTCTTTTTTCAGCCAAGCTCGTGCCTTTTCCATTCTTCTTCTCTTTAGAGCTTTCGTACTTAGCCGTCCCAATGGAGCTATCGTCTGAGATCATGACAATACCCCCCGCCGAGGTCGGACCTTGTCCCCAAGGTCCGAAATTTGGAAATTTATGGCGGAGGTGATTTTCATCCTCCCAGGTGGGCTTGATCTGGTTATCGGCTGACCATTTCACCAACACTTGAGATACCTCTTTTCCTTTCCGTTTCACCCTCCTGGAATCCAGAACTTCCAATGGGAAGACTTTGAAGTGGCCATCAACGTCAGTCTCAGGTAAGTTGCTTGAGGGTAAGTGCGTGGATTTTAACACCTTTTTAAGCAAAGAGACATGAAATACTGGGTGGATCTTTGAATCTGCCGGCAGATCTAGCTTGTATGCCACAGTGCCAATTTTCTCAATGATAGTGTAAGGTCCATAATACTTGGCTGAGAGTTTGACATTTTTTCTGAGACTAAGTGAATTCTGTTTGAAGGGTTGTAGCTTAAGATACACTTGGTCACCAATTACAAACTGCCTCTCTTGTCTTTTCTTGTCTGCATACACCTTCATTCGGTTTTGGGCTTGCACAAGGTTGTCCTTTATTTTATGCATCATTTCTTGTCTGCTTAGGACTGCATCTTTGGCCTCAGAAATATAGTTGTCTTGGAAAGGCTCTAGGGAGAAATTAGGAGGTTTGTACCCATAGAGTGCTTGAAAAGGAGTTACCTTTATACTAGAGTGGTAATTTGTATTATACCAGTACTCTGCTAGGCTTAACCATTTACCCCACTGTTTGGGATTCTCATGGACCATGCATCTGAGGTAGGTTTCCAGGCACTGGTTAACCCTTTCAGTTTGTCCATCTGATTGTGGATGGTAAGCTGTAGTTAAATCCATCTTCACCCCTAGTAGTTTAAAAAAATCCTTCCAGAAATGGCTTGTAAAAACCTTGTCTCTGTCAGTAACCATGCTAACAGGCAGACCATGTAGCTTGTATATGGAGTTCATGAATAGCTCTGCAACACCTTGGGAAGTAAAAGGATGTGTCAATGGTAGGAAGTGGGCATATTTTGTGAATCTGTCTACTACCACCATGATGACATTCTTCCCATTTGACTTTGGCAACCCTTCTATGAAATCCATAGTAATGTGGGTCCAAGCTTGCTGAGGTATGGGTAGTGGTTGTAGAAGCCCCGGGTATGCACCATGCTCAGCTTTACTTTTCTTGCACACCTCACACTGTCCTACCCAGCTAATCACATC